CCCCAGGAAGCAGACTCCATGGGTTTAGGGTTTAGGGTTTAGGGTTTAGGGTTTAGGGTTTAGGGTTTAGGGTTTAGGGTACTACTGACTCGTGTAGAGGGACCCTTTCATTGAAAGTCAAAGCGCTGTTCAAGTGATGTAGGGTTTAGGGATGATTCAGGGCCACAGGACCGTTTCCTGACGTCGCTAAACCCTAGGGCCTAGACCCTAGGTCGTTAGTTTATAAGTTTCTGTAGTCTCTGACCCATGAACTGCTTAACTTTACTAGTCCATGAAGCATGATATCTCGGAAAGGGCCCTTAGAGTAGTGCTGGCGACTAGAACTTATGACGTGTGCGCTTGAAACCATGTTTTAGCCCCGCCCGAAGCGCACAGGACCACCACATGTCCATGTTTCGACCAGGTATAGAGGTAAGTTTCCTGGATTTGGTAGTTGCAAGTGGTTTGTGACCTAAACCCTGCTTGCGAAACCGCATCCATCCATCACCCTGCATGGCTCCAGATTCCAGACACTCCAGTTCGCTTCTGCTTCCAGAAACACGAATTTTTTTGATGCGTTTCAGGATATCACGATCGCCATTCGGTACGTGGTATATGACTATTTCAACCTTTATTAGCTTTTGGGTATGTTTACAGTATTCTGTTCCCTCAGGGTTTGTCCAATGCCGTTAAAGCCAAGCAGGAGCACGTTTAGATACCACCCTCAGAGCATCCGGGAGCTCCGGCAGGGCCCTGCTACTACTTTCCGTGGCTTCAGCAGAGGCTCTGCTTCGAGGCGCCCAGAATGCAGGTACTATGGTCCGCATGTGTGCATGTATGTGTTCACTGTATGTGTGCACTGTATGTGTGTAGTGTGCGCAATATGCATATGTATGTATGCATGTATNNGTAGGTAGGTAGGTAGGTAGAGGCAGTTATAAGTAGGTAAATCACATAGATCTTTATATACACATACATATATGCACATGTTTGCATGCACGTGTTTACACGGGTGCCTGCGTGCCTTGTGCCTGCGTGCCTGCCGGCCTTCCTGCCTGCCTGTCCATATGTTTGTGTGCCTATCTGAATGTATATCAATGTGTTACAAAGGGGCTCGCAAAAACTCATGCACGTGCGTTCATGTATTTATATGCATATTTTTAGGTAGATACACACATACATACACACGCGCACACGCACAAGTCGGGTGCTGTGGGGCACACAGAATAAGCGAACCCAGAAAACCCCTTAGATGACAGTATCCTTGTTGCGAGAACCCTAGGCCCCAAGCCTCCTAAACCCTAAACCCCAGACCCTTAGGCCCTAAACCCTTAAAGACCCTCAAGCAAAGATCCTAAACCCTCAAAGCCATGAGCTGGAAGAGGTGGACACGTCCTGCAGGATGAGGTCTCGAGTTTCGGGCCCGGCCCTCAGTCGAGGAGGCAGAGCGGCTTGAGGTTCATGGATGTAGGGTTTAGGGATTTAGGGT